TTAAATCTTTGATCGTTTTCACCGGTGTTGTCAACAAGAAATTCCATTATGTAAGATATTCCTTCAATATCAAACCTTTTATATGATATTCTACTTTACTTTTAGTTTGACTCGCAGGACTATGAGAGTAAACTCATTTTGGGCTATTCAAATTTACCCAGGAAGGCTGTCGCCATCATTAATATTAAGATTATTGTTCCAAATACTCAAGCTAATGTTCGTGGTGCACGATAAGAATGATAGTAGAAACCTCGACCTAATCACGATAGGTAGATCCTTACGGATTTTCCCCCGTTAAGAACCGTACGTGCAACTTTCATCGCATACGGCTCAAGCTATCTAAACATATTTAAATAACCCATGTCAAAGTCAGCACCCTTTCAGGTTAGAGATATACTCCTATTCACTTTATTACGAAGTGACTTTAGCTTTTTTGATCGTCTCATACCCACTGGTAGATATATTAATTTCGAACTATCTTATAAAATACCTCCTACATCTAAAATAATTGACATAGGGTACCATTGGGTTTACCAAGTTCTGATAATTATAAAGTTTAATAAAATTTTAGGCAGGTACTTTAATTCGTTGCATTCCATTCCATTCCATTCATTATACTTTTTTATAGGGAGACCCGGCTTGGCTGCACACACCTCACTCTTGTACAATTCGAATCGTCAACATACCTTCGCTTGCGCTTACCTTGATTTCTTTCCCTTTACATATGATATTTCATTGATTATTCAGAGCTTCACACCTAACAATTACTTATTACGCATGTCTGATTAGGGACACGAAGGGCCATTCGAGAAGGAATCTCACCTTATTATAATTATCAGCTTTCTTGTCGCACTGTGCAGGTACCAAATCTAACTTTTAAACCCCCATTTACCTTTAATTGGTTACTGGTCTAAAAATTTCCTAATTAACTAAAAGATTTTATATTAAATTTTAGCTTACAACGTTTCCGTTGAGGTTTGACTATATCTTAAGCTTTCGCTAACCTACATTTAGTCGATGAACTGCACACCCTATAACCTAAAAGGAATCAGGTGCTTGGCTGCGCGATTACCCCACATACTTTACTTTCGAGGGTATTACAATCTTGATTTGACCTTATCATATTCGTTACACATGCCACACACTATGTTTCCATGTCTGCTTGGTTAAGATTGCTCATAGGGCTTTCCCGCAATTTGTAGGTGTGTAGCAGGAAGTTCATTCTACTACTTTGGCGTACCTAACCCACCACGAAGAAAAAGGCTGATGCTGTATTAGCATGTAGATATCTAATCAATCAACCGTTTTGGACTTCCCGCATGATCTCTAACCTTCCTCTTAAGGCCTGTACAAAATATTCTATTATATTCTAATTTCCCCTAAAGATATTTTTATTTTCCCCTAAAGAGTGCTACCGATTAAACCTTTCAATCTAATTGGGACTATATCATCATTCAATGTTTATCTAGTGAATGTCAAACGTATTAGTCTCTGAGAAGATATATATTCTATTATAGAGTTGATATATATTCTGCTGATTATCTTATACCCTGATAGTATTGAACTTCCAGCAATTTGGTTTGATTTTAAGAGCACATCATGCTGTGTAAGATTCGGACCGTAACGGGGAATGCTCCGTAGAATTAAAAGCTTCAGCAATGCTTGGTACGTAGTGCCTCAAGGCTTAACTCGTAGTTTATATGCCATAATTATCTCTAATTTGGTTGACTATACCTTCATATGCAATTATACACATGTCTTACCTCTAGTCTGTGGAGATTCTACATATCACTGTACCCCTAAAGGGGGTTTTGTAGGTTCCCTGCTAATTGTCCATTGAACGGAGATCCTAGCAGTTTGTAAGATTTCTTGTAGCTACACACTAATTCATAGCTAAAAATACACCTGTTAAGATTTGTATCAGTAAACACAATCCTAATAGTGATCCAAAGTTTCATCAGTAACTAATGTTACTGGGTTGGGAATGATCAACCAGATAGGCATTCGCTAATTTTAACAGTGGGTGACTTTTCAATATTCTCATAGTGAATAGACCTCTTTAACATAAAGATAATCAGAAATTTAAAAAAAGAATTTACAGTTATTAAATGTTTCTACCACTCTGACCCAAGGTACGAAGAGCGGTTCAATCTGCGACTATAAACACAGTGTCCGCAATACGAATAAAAAAGCAGCAGCGAGCCGGTGGAGAGTTCTAAGACTAAATGGAATGCATCACTAATTTAATAATAATACGACTACACTTGCTATAAATACTATGAACATTACGTCCAAGTAGCGAGATAATACAATTAAACTTAATGTAGTCAAGAAGAAACATACACCTAATAAAATATATAGGGCATAGCTTTGTACATCTCCTGCTCATATGGCTGAAACAGTTCGACTTATCTTCGTGAAGATGACATACAGACCGTAGGGTCCTACCCATTCAATACTCCCTTTATCCAGTATTTTAGTTGTATGGCCACCAAAATCTAAAATCGAATTAACGATGAACTTATTGTATAACATTTCGATTAATAATCTTTGATTGAAGAAACCAAACGTGATTATTCCCAATCTATCTAATTTTAGATCTAATAAGTGCTTAGCCCAGAATTCTTGATAGACTAGACCTACCACCGATAAACCGACTGTTAATAAGAAAGGTAAGAACTTTAAGGATGCCGAGATACTAAACTCAGTATCTAATAAGATCTCATGCGTTGGGTTCACGAATAAACTATTATCTCCAAAGAATCCGGTACCTAATCCAACAAATATATCTTTTGTTAAAAATCCGAAGATTATAGAGAATAGAGCTAAGACTACTAAAGGTAATGTTAAAAAGAAATCACCTTGATGAGTATTTTTATATGCACTTCATGAACCTAGTGGTGAACTTAAAAAGGTCAAATATAATATTCTTACTGAATATAGTGTTGTAAAGACTGCACCCGTTGTTGCTAAGATGTAGACCGTCACACCATTCAATTGATATAACCCATATGCGGACTCTAATATTAAATCTTTGCTATAGAACCCTGTCATAAATGGTATTGCCATTAAACTCAGACTTCCAATCAACATGATTATATACGTTAGTGGAAGATAAACTAATAGTCCCCCGTACTTCCGTAAATCTTGATTATCTTGCATGGCATGTATTATGCTTCCCGCACCCATAAACAATAAGGCTTTATAGAAAGCATGATTAACCAGATGAAAGATAGCTATGTTATAAGAGGATAATCCTACCGCTAGCATCATTAATCCTAATTGACTAATTGTTGAATATGCTATTATCTTTTTAATATCCTGTTGGAATAGCCCCACTAGACTACTGAATATAGTAGTTACAGCACCTAATCAAAAACAAATCAGTAGTATTGTATCACTATATTCGATAAGAGGTGAACTACGTAGAAGTAAATAAACTCCTGCCGTCACCATCGTTGCACTGTGTAGTAATGCTGAAACACTTGTTGGTGCACACATCGCCAATGGAAGTCAGATATGTAGTCCTATTTGAGCACTTTTAGCTAAAGCTCCCAGAATCAGACATAATCCTATAATAAAGATTACATTCTCATTAATGTAGGGTACCTGTGTAAACACTGTACTATACTCTAATCCACCAAAGACTAAGATAAGTATCATTAACCCCATGGTTAGACAAGCATCACCAATACGGTTTGTCACAAAAGCTGATATAGCATTTTGGTTAGCGGTTATGCTAGTGTATCAGAAATTCACTAATAGGTAGGAACATACCCCGATGCATTCTCACGGCCTTAAGCTTGTGGGTTCTGAATTTAACATGTTAAGATGATCCATAAGCAAATGATTATTATCATCTCAAATAATATTGGACTATCTATTTACCGTCTGATCTCATAAGGTATTCCACGTATAGTCTCTAAAGGTCTAACAAATGTTAAATACCCTGCTGATTATCAAGAACTGAAGTCCCAGCAATTTGTAGAATGTTAAATTATATCTAGAAGAATATAAAAAGGCCGAGAAGACCTACGAATAGCACTAAATAATTATTAGCACTCACTAATATACCCATGAATGCAGTAAATAGTGTTAAGTAGCAAAAGAATCTCTGACAGTGAGGATCACCTTTCAGATAGCTAACTGAGTAAATCTGAACTAGTAGACTTATAAAGGTTACTGGCAGCAGCATTGAGACTGTTAGACTGTCAAATTTAAAGGTTCAACCAATGTTTAGTAGATCACCACCTAAATATTGAAACAGGTGGACTGTAACCGTACTATCGGTAAATCCTATTTCAAAGAAGCTTATTATAGCTAAAGCGGAAGTTATTAAGATACAGTTTAATGTAATAATCTGAGATCCAACTACCCCCAATTTTCTTCCGAATAGTCCCACGGCTATCGATCCTAAAAATGGCAGAATTATAATCGTTAGATACATGGGTTGTTATTTGCTATATTGATTGATCCTCTTAATCGATAAAATGCAACTATAATCGCTAAACCTAACGCAGACTCGGCTCCCGCTACTACAATAATATATATTGCTAATACATGGCCTTCCATATCGTCTAAATTGATCGAACTCAGCAATATTAGGAAAGTTATAGCTAGTAGCATTATCTCCACCGAGATAAGCATCATTATGATATTTCTTTTATTTAAGACGAAGCCCAAAACTCCGATTAGATAAATTGTTACTATAGTTAATGTCATTGATTTCATTCATTCAATTTTTTTTACGTTCCAAATAATTCTAATTTTAATTTTAATTTTAATTTTACTAATAAGCTAGATCGTTTATAAGGAGCTGCTAATATTTTATATGATAGATACATCTACAGACAAGCTTCCAATCGATTTTTTTGATAGTCTGCATTTTTGCAAATCTCTCTTTCTAATCGGTCTAACTAAAAGATACGGACCCCCTATTTCATACATAAACTTTGAGGTACGGTCCTTTTATTGATTAGAATTAGAATTCGAATGAAAATCAGGGCTGCGTAGATTTGAACTACGATCGCGAGGTCCGTAGCCTCGTATTTTACCCATTAAATTACAACCCTTTCTCCTAATTATCTTATGGAGATTGTCTTAATCCTACTGTAAGCATTTAAACTTTTAAGCGTTAGATAGGAAGTGCACAAATTTTTCTAGAGAAACAGCTTCAACCACGATAGGCATGGATGAATGAAGTATTCCACAGAGCTCTGAACAAGACGGTTCTTTTCATCTACAATAGTTTAAATTATTGGATTAGCATTATTGAACTAGAGATTATTTATAATAAAAATAATAACCTTTATACGACTGACCATTCTTCATCTTGACGAATAAATATTTTCTATCGAACTTCTTGCCAATAGATTCAAAATAAACTAGAGTGTCATTAATACTACGGAATTCCATCTCAAAGTTTTCACCTTTCACTAGCACAGGTTTACGATACACTTTTAAATCCTCAATCTCTTTGTTGGCCTTTTCAATTTCAAGTAATTTTTGCTACCGAAGGGTCTCAATAAGCAGTCTCAATTCCGTGACTGAAATGTTTTGATTGAATAAAATTTTATTAATAACTTCAGCGGTAGTAGGGTTTCCGCTCTCAATATGGGCCTTGGCGAGAATTTATTCCCAGGACGATTCCGACCACCGGGAGAAGCTGACTCCACAGCAGTATCCGTCTCCGTATCAGTCTCAGTCCCAGTAGCATTAAATGATCTACTAGAGCTAAAATATCGTAGTGCCATATGAGGGTATTCTTTCGTCATGCAGCATTTATATCTATTGAATTAAACTATTGTAGATAAATCCCTAGATTTTTATCTAATTAACAAAACATATAGTATATTTCTGAACTCTTTCGATTTGGGCCTGACTATATTTTAAATGATTGGGCTATCATTAACCACCGTTTAGTCGATGAACTGCATACCTGACAAACAGTTGTCTCTTGGGTACTTGGCTGCGTGATTGTCCATATTATATCTCTTGATTTTACCCTACCACGTGTCGTTAGACGTGCCATAAGATCTATCACTAGTCTTACTTGGTTAAGATACCTTTAGAATATCCCCGCAATTTGATGATTTTACTGTATTCTGGAACAGTTTAGGCCAATGTTAAAGACCGTAGAACACTCCTGGTCTATTGATAAAGACACTAGTCTGATTTAGTCTCCCTGGATAGCAATCAAGCTTTTGTCCGAGCGCCGGAGATGCTCACGAATGAATTACCACGTACTTAGTATCACTGTAACCTGCCTTAAACCTGTAATTATTTTGAAGGGTCTCCATTTATTTATAGGAGCCTCATTCTTTATTTTTTTGGTGGTTGACCTCTGTAGGGGCATACAAGGATCAACCTTATCCATTTGGGTTGAGAATTCTACCTAAAGAATTATTTAAAGCAAGATTACAGTTTACTTAACGACAAATTTCTTTATCAGTTAGATCATACCTTAATTCAATCTAATATTAGCCGCTGCCATATACTTTGATTAAACCACTACCGTCTGATCGTTGCGCTTTTACTACTTATCATCTTCCTCTAGTTGGGGATAAGAGATTTAGTTCCGCGATTGCCCATTCAACGTTAATTAATACTATTTGATTTTACTTTACCTTGGTAATTATTCAAGCCACGTTAAACCTTTTGGGTTAAATTAAATGAAAACGATTAGTTAAATAGTCTTTAGAGTTTTCCCGGAGTTTGGCAGTGTACAATTTATTTTATAAAATAGAGACGTTCTATTCATCTCCGCTCGTTAAAATTAATCTAACGTTTGTGTTCTCTGGTAGTACTAAACGATTATCTACCTCTAACATTCTCAGGTCTCCCATTTCTAGGTCTGACTCCTGTATTAAATAAGAATCAAATTCTATAGGATCTCCATCTGCTGTAATAAAATCGGGATATTGATACGCTCAGTATCATTGGAGTCCCTTCCCTACTACACTCAGAGAAGCGTCATTTACTTCATTTTGTAGATATAGCAGTTTAAAAGATGGGAACGCGATTAATATTAAAATTATGGCTGGTGTCACAGTTCAGACTATTTCTAGTACCGTCAAGCGTAAGTAGGTTAATACTTACATGGACTATATCTTATCTCACATACTATTAATATTCTAGAGATTTCCACGTATAGTCTCTGAAGGTCCCTCTGCATTCAATTCAATTTTTATGTTTCAGGGTTACCTGCTGATGATCCTAGACGCATATGGATATCCCAGCCGTCTACATTTAGGAGTTCCAGCAATCAGTGGAATTTTTTCAATTAGCTAGGGTGACAGTATGAAAGGCACGGTTGTACCATGGTTAAGATATTTCTGTGATATCGGAGACTTGGTTGATATAAAATTTCTTATCACTGAAAATAGCACTCAGCTAACGCTGATGAATATTAAGACAAGATAAAACATCACTGTATTATGCAGTTCGATGATTCCTTCCATTGCAGGGCTTGCACTGTCCTGAAAGAAAACCGATCAAGGTGTTGGCGCGTCCATCAAGATAGTTGTTAAATAATGGTTTATGATTTGCATTGGCTTCTTTATTTATTATTATTAATTGATTTCTAATTTTTAATCTATCTCCCGTAAGCTAATTTACGTGGTATATAGGGATCTTCTTTAAAATAGGATTGACCCCCCATATCTAACCACCTATATTCCTATGGATGGATCTATTGGATAAGATTTTAGTAGAATTGTGCTAAGATTGTATCAAGATTAATCCCCTACAATGTAAACAGTTAAACAGTGTAACAGCCCCTAGGGTAAAATGGATATGGATTTTTGTCTACTGTTGATGCTTAAAGCCTTCTTACCGAGTTCAAATATGAAGCCCGCTGTAATAATACCGATTATAATTAAGACGATAATTAATCCGTATAACCCATTTTCTCGACCACTCATGGCGAACGGATATATTATTAAGATTTCTAAGTCTAATAGTAGATAAACTAGGGCTACTAAGAAAAATTGTACGTCAAAATGTGCCCGGTTCTGTCCCAGGTGAGCTGAAAAACCACATTCGAAGGGTGATTCCTTTGCTGTATTCGGATCCCGAGGAGCTAATAAGGAATTTAAGACTAAAAATAGTATTGCCAAGATCGCGACTAATACGAATATGAAAGTTAGACTACTCATTTTTTAATTCAGGGTAAACATTGCCTCACAGGCAACCAGGCTCATCCATAATGTATCCATCGGCATGTACGTCAAGATTCAGATTGTAATTACTGATATGATTAACGCTAATGGTGCCGGGACAGTTCTTTTCTCTACTGCTGATCTATCTTGATTTTTTTTATTATAATAAAAAAAAAAAGACACGGTAAAGAATATCTCTTTCACTAGACCTAGGTAGTAGATTCCTCCTATAACACTTGTAATTACACCTATTAATGTTAAGAAGATAAGACCCTTGTCTAGAGCTGCTAATAATACTAATAGTTTTGCAAAGAATCCTGCTAACGGTGGAATCCCTAGAAAGGAAAATATTGTAACTGTTAGGCTTATGGCCAATACAGGGTTACGATAATAATATCCATTTAACTGTGAAATTAGCTGGATAGGTGAGTTCGTCATATCATATAGTTTGCCATCACTACTATTAGTCACCATATTATTTTTATAGGTACTATATTGTGGGGACTTAGTTCTAGAGCTTAATGTTAATCCAATTGCGACTAGGATCAATCATATATTTAAGTTACTAATAATATATTGCATTAGATAAAATATAAAGGCTAACTTAGATTCCACTGTACCTATGCTAAGGGCTAGGAGAATAAACCCTATGTGTGAGATCGAGCTATATGCCAATAATCTTTTAATTCGGTATTGTGTCAAACCTAGGACCGTTCCTACTATTAAGGACAACAGTGAACACATCAAGATCATGTATGTAAAACTGTTATTATTTTCAGCCCCTATAACATTGATTAATTGCAAGAAGAACACAAATATTGATACTTTAGCTATGAACGTAACAAATGCACCGATATGTGTAGGTATTGCATCATAGACGTCAGGCGTTCACATGTGGAAAGGCGCTGCACCAATCTTAAACATAAAGCCAGCTCCTAGAAGAACTAGTGATATGTTTCAATCATCTGAATAAATAGCCGTACTATTTGGATTTATACTATTTATATTTAACAGTACGCTTATTGTATCCATACGGGTACTTCCTGTGTTAGCATAAATTATTGCAATAGCTAATAATATTAGACTTGAACCCAATATCCCTAATAGATAATAGATTAGACTTCCTGATACAGAGACTTCTGAGTTACGATAGATTGCACAGATAGTGTATAATCCATAGCTTTGAATCTCAAGAGCGAGAAACATTGTCACTAAATCATTTGATGATATTAAAATGAGTGCACCGATGTTAATCATTAATAATAATAATGGGTATTCTGGCATTTGACAACCCTTAACTGTAAAACTAGTTAGAACTAAGACCAATTTACTCATCGCTATTATAAATAACCCAAATATAAGGCTTATGTTCGTTAGCTTAATTAAACCCCCATGTAGAGCTATGTCTGTAAGATTTAAAGAGTACACTCCTAAAAAATTCAGTGTTGCGTACGCTAAGATTATCATTCCGACTCTATTATATAGAATTGCAAGATCTCGTCTATTATTGACGGAGTTAGATAGTAGTAAGATTATAATTGAGAATAAAATCATTGATTATGGACTTTGTTTTTGGGTCATGTGATATTTGACGTACCTTATTTACAGCTCAGGACGAATATTGTCAGCTGCTTCTTATCCAAGGGGTTTGGACCTAATGTAGCCAAAGAAAAGAGTCGAACTTAATTCTCCCTGCTATGAGTCGGGCGTTTTACCGTTAAACTACTTTAGCTCTGGGTAATGTTCAGGATTCGAACCTAAATCTTCTGACACCACAAGTCAGCATATTAACCGTTATACTAAAATTACCTTTCTCTCCCTTTTTATATTAAGTTTAACTAAATTACGACTAAAAATTCATTTATTTATTCTAATCATAATAAATTCCCCATAACTTAACTTAATTTAATGAT